CTGGAACGAAACATCGTAAAAACTAAACAAATGCACCAATACTATTTTATCCTTACCAAAGTCCTTTACCCTCAGTATGATGTATGACAAAGTTGTAGATAATTTAATTATCTTTTTTTTTTTTCAACAAATCAACTTTTTTTTTTCAAGAGGTATATCAATGCGATCATATTGTACATCAAGAGAAAATTTAAACAAGAAATGTATCAGGATTTGGAAGAAGGCTTAGATCGTTTTTTCAACAACTTCAATCGACAATTCAATCCAAGTGCTCCTACGATCAGGATAGAAGTTTAAAATATATATTTTGTTGTAAAATATATAATAAATTGTTTATAAAAACGTTTATAAAAATATTGTTTGATATGTGCCACATACAAAGACAAACTGATTTTGGATGTCATTTTTATGGAGCACAATTTTGTTTCATTTTTTTTAAATATAAATAGTTTTATACTTGGTTATGATGTTTGACAGAGTTGTAGATAATTTAATTATCTTTGACTTGTGTGAAGATACTTTTAAAACAACTCTCTTCATTTTAAGAATTCTGCACAAAATATAAAGAAAATGTAACTTAGGAAACTCAAGGTTGCTTGATTTTTTTATTTGAAAACAAATCATTTTTGTTCTTAAGATATTTAACAAAGTTACAGATAGTATCATTTCAGTCAATTTGTCAAAGATACTTTTAAGATACATCTTATAACTTCACAAATACAACAACAAATCTAGAGAGCAAACAATTAAAGAAAAAATAAAAACTAGGAAAATCAAAGAGTCAACTTTGCTTGCAAATTAATAATAATCAATTAATAATAAAACATAGATAATTTAATTATCTTTGTATTTGCTAAAGGTACTTTTCTCATAATTTCAGAGATACAGCAAAAAATGTAAAAAAACAGTAAATAAAAGAAAAAAGACTTGGAATTTTACAGTAATCTATGCTTGCAATTTAAAAAAAGAAAATAAGTATTGTATATTCTTAAAATATATAAAGAAGTCATAGATAATTTAATTATCTATCATCTTCCAGAAAGCAGTATTAAAATTTATCTCACAGTTTTAGAATTAAAACCACAAAAGTGAAAAATTGTACTTAAATTTTCTAATAGCAAATTTCATGAAATGGCAATTTTGATTTTTAAAAGTTGTAGATAATTTAATTATCTTCATCCTTTTCAAAAATAATTTGAAGCTCAAAGATAATTATTTCAATAAATTGTTTATAATAAATTTATTTATCAAAAACAATTGATCCAAATCAAACTTCAAACAAATATTAAAATTATTTTTTACTATGTCGTGTTGCAAAGCAAAAGACGAATTAGATGAATTCGGCTATTCGAATTACCAAAAACAATCTCTGGTCGAATTTTGGGCCACTAAAATGCAAGATAATTTGGAAATCCACGGAAAAAACATCTTTATCAAGTAATAAAATATTAACAATATATATTATTCATATTTATATATATTTATGAAGTTTTCTGTAGATTTTTGAAAGACTATCCTGAATATTATAGTTTCTGGAAAATGCAACCTGATGCTGATATCATGATGGCGGTTAGTAAATTTGTTAGTTTTTGCAAAATAAATTATTTGTGGGTTTAGATATTAAATTTTTGTCTAAGGAGAATATAAAGTAGATAAAATTATCTAAAAAACTGTATAGTTAAAATTTATCTAAGATACTTTATTCAAGTTCTACGAAAGCTTAAATCAACCTTAAAAAACTAATTAAACCTTTACCAAACCTTTTCTTGGCAGTGAGTATTTTTGTAGTTTTTAAAGAATATTTTTTTTGGTTTAGAATCTTATATTTTTATCTTAGAAAAGGGAAATCTAGATAAAATTATCTATATAACAATATAACTAGGATTTTTCCATTGTCTTCTATATAATTCTTCAAAATTTAGGTTATTTTTTTTTCAAAGTATTTAATTCTAATATTTTTTTTATTTTTGTTTCTACTAATTCATAAACCTTCAACGCAGAAGTTTTTCTAACAATTTACGTATTTTTACAATTTTTTACCATTTTTTTTCTTAGGAAGATTTACCTCTCCATGGACAAGTTGCTATGTACGGTTTGGATCGTCTTATGCGAGATTTGCAAGTTGGTGCAGACGCTTATAGAAAAAGTATATCGAAATTAGTGGCAAAACATATCGAATTACATGTCGATTTATTGTCGATACAGGTATTTATATGCCAATATATTACAAAAATTAGTTTGCACTATTAGTACACTAAAAGTACCAATTGTTTTCTGTCTACTTATCTGTTTATCTATTTTTTTAGAGGTACACGTACACCACAATGCGTTATTTCCAAAGAACGTTCTCCCAGGACATTTTACCAGAAGTCGAATCTGCCTTAAGAATATTTTTTGGACTGATCCATCATTATGCAGAAGGAACAATTAACAACATGACAAGAGAGAAGAGTATAACCACACCACAAGTTTAAACAATATCAAAATTTATAAAGTAATAAAAAGTAATAAAAAAGTGTTAAAAATTTATACAGTAATAAAAAAATGTTAAAACAATGTTTGTATTTAATTTATTTAAGTAAAAACAAAAACAAATTGGTACATCCATATGTTCTTCAGGAGGCAACAGTTAATAGATAGTTGATCTGTTGCTGGATCCAAAAGTTGCTTTATGTTTCCATTATTTGACCTAAGATATGTTTATTATTTTAGCCATGATAGATGATGTCAGCACATGGGGCAACCTTGCAGAGTCCAAAAATGCCGATTCAAACTGAAACCAATCCATGGTTCTAATCATCCACATCCAATCATTGCCCAAATTAGCTTGTTATATCTATTTGGACATCAATGTCCAGCTAGGAAGGTTTTGGTAAAGTACACAAAGCATTATGTGCTGGTATAGCTATCCATCCAGCTATGGCAATCCCTAAACTATCAGCCAAAGCTGTGATACCCATAGAAAACTTTCTCTCCTTCATCGGAATCTCATGTGTCATCCTGTAGAACGTGTTGACATAAGCACCACCTCCTAAAAGTCCTTCCCATAAAACTATACCAAAAACAATCCAAATATTTGGTATATATCCATAAATTACTTCAAAAAGTAGTATCAAAACATTTATAAACTGAAACACAGACATCAACCAGACTTGTTTGAAATGGACAACGTTGACAGAACTTCTGGAGATAAAGACACCAACTTGGTAATCCACTTGCAACCATCTGTATTGTTCACTTTTCGATAACCAAAAATGATCGTAGTACACCAGCTCGAACAAACCTTGATTTATGAAGTACTCGAACAAGTAGACAACTAGTAAAGGTATCATGTACTTAAAACAAGGTGGTATTGCTGCTAATTTTTGTCTAAAATGACTTAAAGGTTTGCTCTGAACACCAGCTCTGCTAGGAACAAACGTAACTGCTGATGTATGTCCTAAAACGTTCTGGATTTCCGAAAACGCTGGATGCTCCTCATCAGCAGATTGTTTGCGCAGCAGAATCCAGAAGGAAAATGCTTGTAATACTGGAATTATCAGCATAATTAGCAAAGTATTAAATGGTGTCAATCCTAAACTGATCAGACCAGCGTATGATACTGCTCCAACGATTCCGGCACCACCAGTTCCAGAACTCCAAGTTGATATAACGTTTCGGTTATACTTTGCAGAGTAGGCTAGAAAAGTAACTTCGCCAAGACCAGAACTAAAAGCTGTGCTGACGACACCTAAAATGGCTAACCAGTTGCCTTTGGAGAAGGATACTAGTAAGTATCCTGCTGCTGATGCAAAACAACATATCAAAATCCTTATGTGAACATAAAATGGTAGAAAAGGCGCAGTAAATTTTATAATCAATGCAGGTATAATGTCTGCAAGTAAAATTGCACCAGTTGAGATATAGTTGCAGTCTCTTGGATTGGAAGGCTTTGGTGTTGTAGACTCTTTTGCATGAGAAGCTGATAATATATCGTGAGCTGCACTCAACATGACCACATATCCATAGTTATTGCACAAACCCAAGATCCAATAGGCTGTTAAATCTCGCCAAAGACCTTTATCCAAAGTATTTGTTCCTTGTGTACGTCGAGACGATGCTGGTATTTCTTCTTCTGGGGTATTTGACATTTTGGGGATAAAATGTAAGACTTTGACTAATATTTATCCTAAATAAAGTTTCCTAGAATAGATCTGGTAATATTTATTTTAAAATCAATAAATCTAGATAATTCCAGATGCAATTGAATAGATATTCCTGCACAGTCACCGGTCAAGTTCATAAATCCAACATTGGAACAACATGATTCTTATTAAACCTATTTTTTATATTTATGCAAATTGATCTTGCAATAGGATGAAATCAAGAAGATTTAGATGTAGAAAAAGAATGCAGAGCGTTTGGAGAAAAATAATCAAGTTCTGACCAAAAACGAAATTGTTTTGTTTATATCTTGTATTATATCCAGATAGTTAGCAGAAACCAAGTGATATCCAACAAAATGATGCGGATTCATCAAATAACATGAATAGATCATCAGCAATTCTGAGTATGATGTGTCCTTTGCCTGGATCAAAATAATCGCCAATAAAGATTTGGCTTGTCATCCTGGACGTTTATTATTTAATTCCAAAGCAATTCCAATGATCCTCCATTCCATCAGCGCCTTATATTTTCATTAGTGAACTTCCTGCTTCTTTAGTAAACTGTGAACCAAAAATAAGCAAATTGATTAGGATAGGATTAACAGAATGGATTTGAGTAAAATATATAAATATAAATAATCAAAATTTATTTTCAATATAAAAAATACAATTTGATTACAAAAACAAAGTTTAACAATTGACTTGTAGATAAAAACCTGTATTTAATTACTTTAGAAGTAACAAGTCATATGATAATTCTATGGGTGTTCAAATGCTGGTCTAAGTTGTAAACGACATGTTTCAATTTTTGATTGAACTCAGAAACCATAAATTAGCAACATCAACAGAGCATCTAATTAACTACAGGTATATTCATAGTCCACTCCAACTTAAACATGGATGAGTTTTCACTTTGGACCAGCCTTTGTACACAATATTTATTAAAAAAACATTTTTAAGTACAAATTTCACTTATGTTATTATATATACTATTTTATTTTATTGTCTCAATGTTTTTGGTATGATCAACATTGAATTTGGCATCATTTACAAAACCTGACTGAACCATGATTTTGGCTTGGAAGAAAAATACTTGTTGTAATGAATATTATTAAAAAATTTGTACTAATATTACACTGGGATGATCAATACAAAATAATTTCGCATTCTACATGATCGGTTTCGATTTAAATTTAAATGAAAGGAATATATTAGTTTGATAAGTTTGGTTATTTAATTTAAGTCTAAGGTTTTTATTAATCCACAATGTTCCTTAAAATGTATAATTTTCTGATCGAAATTTTACGTTAAAAACTATTTCACTGGTTCAATTATCTACACTTGCACTCGCAAACAACTAAACTTTAATTTCATCCACCTAATGTTGGATTTGGTCAAATTTTATTCACTTAAGTTGGTTTGGGCAAAGCACACAAGGCATTATGTGTTGGCATAGCTATCCATCCAGCCAAGGCTATTCCCAGACTATCAGCAATAGCAGTGATTGACATGGAGAACTTCTGTTTTTCCATTGGAATCTCATGGCTCATCCTGTAGAAGGTGTTGACATAAGCACCGCCTCCTAAAAGTCCTTCCCATAAAACGATGGCAAAAACAATCCAGATATTAGGGATGTACCCATACAAAACTTGGAATAGAAGCACCAAAACGTTGATGAATTGGAACACCGACATGATCCATACTTGTTTCAATTGTAACAAGTTGACGGAGCTTCTGGATATAAACACACCGATTTGATAGTCAACTTGTAGCCAACGGTATTGTTCATCTTTATCCAAAAAGGCACCTTCGAAGTATAGCAACTCAAACAAACCTTGATTGATAAAGTACTCCAACAAATACACCAAAAGTAGAGGTATCATATATTTGAACAATGGAGGAATAGCTTTAAATTTGCTTTTCAAATCACCAAAAGCTTTCTGGTTCTGCTCATTATCTCCAAATGTAGCAGCTGATGAACCATAAACGCTCATGCCAGTAGCCGTTTGCACTGGCTGATCTTCCTCGTGGGGTTTACGCAAAAGCACCCAGAAAGTAAGCCCTTCTAAAACTGGAACTACCAACATCACCAGTAAAGTTGTCACAGGATCTAATCCTAATCCTGTTAAACCAGCGTAAGAGACAGCTCCAACAATACCAGCTCCTCCTGTTCCTGAAGACCAAGTACTTATAACATTCTTATTATACCTTGACGAATGCGCTAAAAATGTCACTTCGCCAAGACCAGAACTAAAAGATGTTGCTATCACACCTAAAATTGCTAACCAGTTCCCTTGAGAGAAAGCAACTAGTATAAAACCTGCTGCAGCAGCCAGGCAACATATTAAAATCCTGACGTGGACAAAAAACGGTAGAAAAGGCGCTGTAAATTTTATGATCAATGCTGGAAGGATATCTGCTAATAAAATAGCACCAGTGGACAACTCATTGCATTCACGTTTAGTGGGGTCTACGATTGTGGAATTTGATATTGTACTATTGTTGGATGGATGGTGACTTTCATCAGCTGCTTTGAGGATATCGTGAGCGGCACTTAACATAACTACATATCCATAGTTGTTGCATAATCCAAGGATCCAGTAGGCCACCAGGTCCCGCCAGAGGCCTCTGTCTTTTAAAGGAGTGGATTCGTGAGGCGATTCTGGATTTTTCGTTGGAGTCATCATTTTAAAAATCAAGTAAAAATCACAGATGTATGCTTACAGGTTAATTTAATTTATGGAGCAGAGGTTCTCCACCAAAAATCGAAGATACTTTAAATATTGTAAACAAGACCACACTTCAAGTCTGGTTAAAATTTAACCAATGTATGATGTCCTGAATGTAGATTTCTGCTAGTCCAAATAATGTTTCAATAAATTGTAATTCAGCACAAACTATTCTAAGTTCACTACGCTTCTCCAACAATCTAAATCCAACTCATTATCTTCTTCTTAATATGCACCAAGATCAGTCTTTTGGTCATTTTTAGCTAAATCCTAGCTCCTATTTCCATATTTACTGGATCAGTCTTGTTTATCTTACTTAATACTATTTAAACCTTGGTCCAAGTGGAAGATCTGCCAGAAAAGAATTAGAAATTTAATTTAAACCATTATGAATGATTTCGTGATGATGATCCTTGATATTGGTGATGATGAAACATGGTCCATGCAGGAATTGATGAATAAAAACTGCTGATTTAGGACTGGTTATCGTATTTTAGGCACATGATATAAAATATCAATTATTTTAGTATTTGTTAGTTTAATTGTAGTATGTTAATAGTGGCTGTACTGATATTACAAGTTTGTGAAATACCAAATACTAAACTAAAAATATAAAAATAAGAATATAGTGCAAATGGTGAATGAATAGTTGCATTCAATTTATTTTGCTCTTATCAAAACGTTGAATAATGTTTGAACTGAAATTGCGTTATGAAGTGCTAGAATAACTTGTGCTCTAAAGGTTTAGTACATTTTTTTTTAATTTAAATTTTTTTATCTAAATTTTGGCTGAAACTCACGTTTAGTACAATTCAAAGGCAAATGCATATTATACATATAATATTTAGTAACACCAAAAATGGTTTGCCATCTCTGCTGATTTCTTTGATGAATAAATAAACATGTGTTATTTCTGGCATTGACTTGGCAATCATTGTATTATACATGTATATTTTATATACAATATGCATTGTTATATAAAACAATAGTAGTATGTGTTTATCTATAAACAATTTAGTATTTAGCAGGATAACAAAAAATTGTAACAAACATTTATTTATTTATAAACAATTTATATAACATGCAAAATTTGAACTTAGATTTATGTAATTTATTATAATGGTACTATGTGTTTTCATTTTGTACAGTTATTTATTATTATTATTATTTTGTAATTATTTATTTTTTTAAACCTTTAAAAAATAATAATTTAAGTTTTTGTTTAAACCTTTATTTTTGTCTTATACTGAATAATTTTATTTTACAATGCTGTTGTAGATTTTATTTATAAAATTGAATATGAATGAATATTAATAAAAATGTGGTTATATTTATTATAAATTGTGATAGTATATATTACAAAATTAAAATATTAAAATGATAAAGAAATGGGAACAACATTAGGTAGATGATTTATATTTGAATTCATTAGGCCTTTAGTGAATAAATTATTTCAAGAACAATACTAATTTATTATATATATATATATATATATATATGTGTGTGTGTGTATTTATATACATATAAATACACACATATATTTAAATATAATTATTAGAGTGGGCGAAAGTGACAGTTAAATCTTCATGATCACACCATATATGTAATGACAATTGATGGTCAAAAGATTTATATATATAAATATATATATATATATATATATATATATATGTGTGTGTGTGTGTGTATGTGTGTATTCATGTAATCTTCACCTAGTTTCTATAAATGTTTATAAATATGTTTAAATTTGTATAAATGAGCATATTTGTATAAAAATGTGTACATTTATAAAAAAAGTGTGTGTAAGTGTGTGTAATTTCACAAAAATGTATTTAAATATATAGAAGTGTGCAAAAATGTGTTTGAAAGTGCAAAAACGTATACATTTAAGTAAGTGCATAAAAATGTGTTTAATATCATAAAAATGTATTTAAATATTAATAAAAATATGTAAACGTGTAAGTGTGTAATGTGTAAATTGCGTAAAATATGTGTTTATATGTGTAAACTTTTATAAATATGTAGAAAAGTGTGCAAAAATGTGTTTGAAAGTGTAAAAATATACATTGTGAAAGTGCATAAAAATGTGTTTTATAGTATGTAAATGTGTTTGATATCATAAAAATGTATTAAAATATTTATAAAAACGTATAAATATATAAAAATGTGCACAAATGTATATTAACGTGTTTTTAAGTGTGTAAATGTGTGTACTTTTATAAAAATGTGTTTAAATATGTATAAGTGTTCAAAAGTGTGGAAATAAACACATTTGTATAAAAATGCATATAAGTGCGCGAAAATATTTGTAAATGTGTATAATAGCATGAAAATGTATCAAAGTATGTACATTAATTGAGAAAAAAATGTATATAATATCTTTAAGTGTGTATAAATGTGTTAAAGTAAGAGACAAGCTTTTGTTTTATACTAAACCCTTATTGCACAAGTCTTTCTAATAATTCCAACTTTTTTTTGTATTTTTTCAATTGTTCTCCTCCCCTGGTTCCTAATATAACTATTTCGCGAATCATATGTTCCGAACGTGTGTCGCACAGTCTTCGAATAGATCTCGAATCAAGATGTACATTTTTTTTAGTTTTTTTTATGATTTTATTTAAATATTAACAATAAATTATTGATAACAAAATAGTAGATAGTTTAAAGAATATGTGATTTGTTAACTTTACCAAAAAATATTGAGTTTTTTGTAGTGGTTTCGAAAAGACTGATGACTTGTGTTATAAAAATAGTTTAAAAAGATTGATCTAAATTATATAAAATTAGTGTAAATATAAGAAAATAATTAATAAGGTGACTAGAATTTTTTAAGTATGTAGGTGTAAGTTTGTATAAGTGTGTATAAGTATGTGTAAGTGTGTACAAATATGTGTATGTGTTTATAAGTGTGTAAAATTGTGTACAAGTGTGCACAAATGTATGTAGGTGTATGTGATTTTAATTGTATAAAATTAGTGTAAATATAAATAATTAATTAATAAGGTGATTATAGGGTGTAAGTTTGTATAAGTGTGAATAAAATGTGTATAAGTATGTGTAAGTGTGTAAAAATATGTATATGTGTTCATAAGCGTGTAAAATTGTGTGTAATTGTGTGCAAGTGTGCACAAATGTGTGTACGTGCATATGATTGTGTGTAAATGTGCTCACGTGTGTACAAATGTGTGTAAGTAGTGTGTATGAATATGTGTGTAAATAGTGTGTATGAATATGTGTGTAAATTGTGTGTACGAATATGTACAAGTGTGTATGAACACAATAATGTGTGTAATTTTATACAAATGTGTGTAAGGGTGCATGAGTGTGTATGAATGTGTACAAGTGTGTATGAATGTGTACAAGTGTGTGTAAGTATGCATAAGTGTGTATGAATATGTACAAGTGTGTATGTATACAATATGTGTGTAATTTTATATAAATGTGTGTAAGTATACATAAGTGTGTATAAATGTGTACAAGTGTGTATGGATGTATGCAAGGGGTGTGGATGTATTCACATTTGTGTAAATGTGTATAATTGTGTATAAATGTGTATAAATGTGTATAAATGTGTATAAATGTGTATAAATGTGTATAAATGTGTAAATGTGTATAAATGTGTATAAATGTGTAGAAATGTGTAGAAATGTGTAGAAATGTGTAGAAATGTGTAGAAATGTGTAGAAATGTGTAGAAATGTGTAGAAATGTGTAGAAATGTGTAGAAATGTGTGAAAGTGTGTAAAAGTGTGTAAAAGTGTGTAAAAGTGTGTAGAAGTGTGTAGAAATGTGTAGAAATGTGTATAATTGTGTATAGATGTGTATGAATCTGTACAATTGTGTATAAATATGTATAAATGTGCATAAACGTGTACAAATGGGTATAAAAATGTGTATAATTGTGTATAAATGTTTATAAATGTCTATAAAAATGTAATAATTTAGAATGAATATGTGTAAGTTTAATATAAATGTTAAATACGTGTTAAAAAATAAATAAAAACATGTATATATATACAATATTAAATAGTTTTACTTACAATTTTGAATATTTATTATAAATTTCGAAAAAGCAATCTTACAAACGTAATCAAACCTTCATTCAACGATTACATATTTTTTCAATTATTATTTAACACTTTTAACTTTCTAAAATAATTCAATCGGAAAAATTGACTAATAAAATAGACATTCTAGATTATTGCACAAATTAAATCTTCAGTATTTTATATGAAATTTCTTTTAATTGAAAATTTATTTATAGACGATAGATTCGGATATCTGGATTGTCTCACTTTTAGTCCGGAAGATAAATAAGTATACACATATATTTGTTATTACGAATTATATTATGTATACACTTACTCAATTATACATAATTATATATTTATTAATTACCTAATTTTATATATATATATATTAATAAGTGTGAATGAATGTATATAAATGTGTGAGAGTATATCAAATTTGTATAAATTGTGTAAATGTGTAAGAAATGTGTAAAAAGTGTATGAGTATGGTATAAATATTTAAAATTGTTAAAAATTGTATAAAATATGTTTAAATTAAATAATATATAACCGTATTTAAATGAGTATATAATGTTTATAAGTGTAAAATTATGTGTAAAAGCTTCCATAAGTGTGAGTAGGAGTGTGTTTACGCATGTAAAAGAGTGTAAAAGTGTGTATAAAAGTGTAAAAGTGTGTCTAAGTGTATTAATGAGTGTGGTGTATAAAAGTATGCATTAAAATTGTATTGATTGTATAAATGTATGTTAAATTATGTGCGAAATGTTTATGGAAATGCATGTATGTATTTCAAAAAAAAATCAGGGTATATATATATATATATATGTGTGTGTGTTTATTTATACATGTGTGTATGTATGTATATATGCCGTTGGCCTGCATTTATAAATAAAATTTAGGACTTGTATTTAGTACCTAAAATTAGAATCAGAGTTCTCGTACGAGAAATATATTCATCACTTGCATCCATTTCTTTGTCTTTGAAAACATGAACTCGATTTAAAATATTTAAAAACATAAAAACACACAACAATAATTCAATTAAAATTAAAACTTTAAATGTCTAAATTCATATGTAAAAGTATTTATTTATTCAATTTGTTTTTAATTTTTAAGTGATGTAAACAAAATGTCGACGAAAGTAAAGGAAGACATCAAGATCACAGTGTTTTTCTCGAATCATATGATTGTAGTGTATATTTGATTGGATTTTTATTTATTTAAACAATTAAGGTAAGATTGTTAATAAGATTTATTGCTAAATTATTTAATTATAATAAATTAATTCATTAGATTTAATTTATCCAACTGCACTATTTATATATGTAATTCAGTATGTTTTTTCATTAAATCTGCTGTATTTTTTAAACAGTTTATTTATAGTAAATGATGTATTTGACAAATTTGTTCAAAATTAAATTGTTTATAATATTGTGGAACATTAGAGACCCTAGAGCAACTCTTTAAACAAGCTGTAGAAGTTCAATGATCTATTTAAGTTTGCTAGAGTGCATTTTTAGATTTATCGTTTATAAATCTTCAACTATTCGATTGATGTCAATGATGTTTGAGGCAAATTTGTACAAAATTAAATATAATATATATATATATATATATATATATATATATATATATATATATATGCATTATTGGCATTGTATAATTATTACTAATAATTTGCGTTTGTTTAAAAGAACTCAAACTATGTGATGATTTGCTTGTTGAAATATTTTTTGCTCATTTATATATCGTAAAATATTTTAAACATCTCTTAAAAAAAATTGCTCAAATTATGATAGGTAATACTTTAATATATCTACTATAACAACAAATACTAAATTCCACATTTTTCTTTCAATATATAAACAAAATAATAAACAAATACCTAGAATTATTCTCCTATAGGTAGCTTGTTTTCAAATGTGATTTTTGAAGAGCTCGTAAGGCCATACCAGTACAAATAAAGTTATTACTAATTTTTTTTAGGTAAAAAATTCATTACAAAGTTAAAAATGTGCCATTTTCTATTTTTGCAAAAATAAAGTTAGGAAGTTGTTATGTCTACTATGACAACAAATACTAGAATCAATAAATTTTCTACTTTAAACATAACTAAATTTAATAAAAACACACAACTTTGATATGAGACTAGTTAAGAGATTTAACTAATTACTTGATCTACTAATTGAAACATTTGTACTAATTAAAATTTATATAAATAAATATTGTAATATTAATTAATAGTAATGTATTTTTTAATACTAATAAATTAAAAATTAAAGTGTATTCTCAAATTATTTAAAGTTTACTTTAAGTTTTGGTTTCGGAAATACTTTGTAGATGAAACGGTTGTGACTAATTTTTGTTTAAACAAAAGAACCGCTAATATAATTATATATACATTTATATATATATATATATATATATATATATATACTAGTATGTATTTTTTACGTTTCAGTGACCAAACACAATTAGTTTGCTCTATATGTATAAATAAATATATATAATTTTCTAAACGCGAGGTCAACTATTTGTCATTCTTTCGTTTTTTTGCATTATTAAATATAATAATTCAGTTTCTAATTTATATATAATTACATAAATATGTATGTATATATTTATATGATTCGTGTCAGATTTTATTAATTACTGGTGTGACATTACGAGCTCTTCAAAAATTAAAGTAAAAAATTAAACTCTTCGAGAGTACTTATCGTATATAATTGCTAATATCTTATTAATATTAAAAGAAAATATATCAATTTTAGTATTTGTTTTCATAATAGACATAATAAAGGATAATATACGAAATTACAATATGCTACCACATGACCTTACAAGGTATTCAAAATAACATTTAAAAATCAAAAATTTAGAATTAGAATTTTCGGTATTAAATTGTTAATATTTTGTAATATTGGGAAATAACTTATCAATTTTGGTATTTGTTTTCATAGTAGACATATTAAAGCACAACATACACAAATTACAGTATCCTATTACATGACCTTACGTGTTTCAAAAACAACATTTTAAAATCAAAAATCTGTGTACTATTATACTGTAAGTTTAGGTAATTGCTGCATTAAATTGTTTATAACTTGTAAAATTGAGAAAAAACTTAGTAAATTTAGTATTTGTTGTCATAGTAGACATATCAAAAGAAAACATACACAAATTAAACTACATGACCTAACGAGCTCTTCAGAATAACATTTTAAAATCAAAAATTTAGAATTTCGGTGCATTAAATTGTTAATATTTCGTATTATTGAGAGAAACTTATCAGTTTTAGTATTTGTTATCATAGTAGACCTATAAAGGACAACATACCCAAATTACAACTTTCTTGGTTCACTGGTATGACCTTACGAGCTCTTCAAAAATGATATTCTAAAATAAAAAAATCTGTATGCTATTATAGAAGAGTTCTAGATAATTGTTGCATTAAATTCCTAATATCTTGTAACATTAAGAGAAAACATATCAGTTGTAGTATTTGTTATCATAGTAAACATATTGAAGAATGACATACCCAAATTGCAACATCATACGTTCACTGGTGTGAACTTACGAGCTCTTCAAAAATGGCATTTTAAAATCAAAAATACGTATGCTATTATAGAAGAGTTCTAGGTGATTGTTGAATTAAATTGTTTATACGAGGTCTGTTCAAAAAGTACCCGGAATTTTCGTTTTTTCAAAAAAATATTTATTTATTCGTCTACATTAATGTGGTCCCCTTCAAAGTAGTCCCCCCCAGATATAATACACTTATGCCAGCGTTTTTTCCAATTTTCGAAGCACCCTTGATATTCACTTTTTGATATGTCCTTGAGCACTCTCAGCGATTTTCTTCAATCGAGGAAAACCGCCGTCCTTTCATGGGTCTCTTCAACTTTGGGAATAGGAAAAAGTCACACGGAGCCATATCTGGTGAATTTTTGCACTTTGCAACACTTTATTTCATTTTTTACGCAAAATTTAATACAAATTCTTTGACTTTTCAATTCTTCCATTGTAAAAATCGCCGAGCTCAGAAAAACACGTCGAACCTTAGCGACTACCACAGACAAAGTAAACAGTGAATATAGCTGAAAATTTCATCATACTTTAGGGGCATGTATACCAACACAATAAAAAAAAAAATTTGACAATCAGACACTCCAGACCCGCGAAATTTAATTATTAGTAATTCCGGGTACTTTTTGAACACACCTCGTATTTTGTAATATTGAGAAAAAACTTATCAATTTTAGTATTTGTTTTCATAGTAGACATATTAAAGGATAACATACAAAAATTACAATATCCTACCACATGCCCTTCAAAATGGTATTCAAAATAATATTTCAAAATCAAAATCTGTATACTATTATAGAATAGTTTTAAGTAATTGTTGCATTAAATTGTTTATATCTTGTAACATTAACAGAACACTTACTTAATTTTAGTATTTGTTGTCATAGTCATTAAAGTATAACATACTCAAATTACAACATCCTACGTTTACTGGTATGATCTTACGAGCTCTTCAAAAATACCACTTTAAAATCAAGCTACCTGTATACTATTATACATACTATAGTTTTAATAGGTAATTGTTGTATTAAATTGCTAATATCTTGTAACATTTATAGAAAACTTATCAGTTTTAGTATTTGTATTCATAGTAAACATATTAAAGTATAGCATACACAAATTACAATATCCTACGTTCACTGGTACGGCCTTACGATCTCTTCAAAAAAGACATTTCAAATCTATCCATACAATATTTATTAGGTAGTAGTTGCACTAAATTGTTATTATTTTGTGTTATGTGCAAAACCGTTAACATTTTCATATATTTAAAAAAAAGTATCGATTTTAGTATTTGTCATCATAGTATAACCAAATCACAACTTTACACCGAAAAAATAATAGCGCCATCTCTCGAAATTTGCTGCAATTCCACAACTTTTGTTTTAAAACTCATCAATTTTAGTATTTTTCCCAAAACTATCCTCTACCAATTTATTTCCTTTTCTAGATGCCTCAAACTAATCCAAAACCTCGTCAAAAGTTGATCTACCAGCACCAAGATTCATCCTTCAGTCTATCATCATCAATAGATGACGATACCAATCGACTGATGGATTTTGAAGAAAGATCTCCAATGATTCCAACAAAATTGATGAAGAAAAGATATATCTTAGAAGAACATGATGAAAATATCAATCATATGCAGCAGAATTCCTGGTTGCTGATCTTGAAGAAATTGGGCGTCCTTATGGACATTTTGTCGAGGATGCCTTTGCCGCCTGCCAACGTTGGAGGAATTGCAGGTAAGGGAATAAAAGACCAGGGCAAAGATTATGTGTATTAAGGAAAAAATCTTTTGATGTAAAGGCTTCAGAAATCTGCCACAATTAGTCTTTCTTGTTAAGCAGATCAGAATCCATTAACGTCTATTTTAATATTAGGAAGGTTCCAAATGTAAAACTTGATTTGGTAACTACTGGTTTTGTCCATGTTACTTCCTCGAATAATTTTTGATACCATCAATTCTACTAGTCCTTGCCAAAGTAGACATTCTGAACATCCTCAAATTTTTGGCTACTTTTTCAGTCGCAACATTGATGCTGACGCTTTTTGGACCAAAAACTTTAGTCCAGACTCTGATCTATCCTGCATACAGGCATTGTATAGGTGAGCAAAATATACAGAAGAAACGATTTTTACACCTTTTCACTATTTCTGCTAAATTATTTAAGTACATTAAACTATCTAATAAGTTCTTTATCCCTTCAGGAGGTCTATATCCTGCTTACGCCTCCTACAAAGCAGTCAGGAGCAAAAATGTACGGGAATATGTAAAATGGATGATGTACTGGATAGTTTTGGCAACCTTCAGTGCCATAGAACAAATGGCAGATCTCTGTCTGACCTGGTTGCCATTTTATTATGAAGTCAAGATTTTGTTGATTTTGTGGCTACTCTCTCCGGCCACTAAAGGAAGTTCTATGCTATATAAGAAGTTTTTGCATCCTGCTTTGGCGAGACGAGAACAGGTAGAAGTTGAAATATATTATATTCGATCAATATCAATGATCACCGAAACAAAAATGTTTAAAATTAAGCTTCAAACGTTTGCAACAACAAAAGGATCTAAAATCGTTTTTTAATTTCAGGAGATCGATGAAGCTTTATCAGTAGCTCGTGACAAGGGCTACAGAGCAGTCTTACAACTTGGTTCAAAAGCTACAAATGCTCTTTTGAATACAGCCATCAAGGTAAAAGAAAATCCAATTACAAAACAGCCTAAACACATGTTCAAAATATTCAATTTTTTATCTAAATTTTAGAGTAGCGGAAACTTGATGCACCAATTGAGAAAAACCCATAGTCTGAGTGACATTCCAGAGGCTCCTAGTCTGCGAAGTGGTTCAGATGAAGACTATATTGGTAAATAGACTCATTTTCATATTTCTTTTCCTTCTCTAATATCTATTATCTTTAGATGAAACTGAGGAATGGTCTGATGCCAAACGAGCAAATATCTCGTCTTCCATACTGAGAAGAAAAAGCGATATTTCAAGACAAAGACCGTTGAGTTATTCTGAGGACAACTATAGCAGAGAGAAGACAACTCCAAAAATTAGGTATAACATAACCATATCTATAATGTCTGATAAAAAAATTGTACTAAAAGTTTATCTTCCGCAGTCGCAAAGCATCAGAAGAAAGTTCAGGATATTCCAGTTCTGCTAGTACGGAACCCAGGACATATCCAAAACGCGGCAACAATGACCTGACTGCCAATTCGATAATACCCGAGGTAATAAAAATTAAACCACAGATTGTCATTGAAAGCAATAGATTTGTGGTTATATATGAAATTCTGATTAGACGCAGACTATTTAGATCATTGTTTTAGAAGTCATCGCCACAAATAGTCAATTAACTGATTAACCTAATGTCGTAAAAAATATTATACACCCAAAATTAGTGCTAACAACATCATTTCCGCGATACGATTGGTAATAAATAGTCTGTGTTTTCCATCTTTTTAATCCTCCAGGATGAATTAACTCGAAATTTCTGTTTAAAGGATCTGGAATATTACGAAGACCAAGACAAGGTCCCGTACCAGCCTTCCTCTGGTAATAAAATTGATTGCAAATCTTATTTTTACAAAAATGTTACTATAACAGATGTGACGAACTTGGAGGATGTTTTGGAAATTGATGAGATATGTCCAGATGTTAAAAATAACAAGATGTTTGATAAAGTTGAGTGTGATTTAGACGCAGTGGAGTTGCAAAATAGTTGCGAGACATCGAGAGATCAAGAAAAAGTTGAGGTTAAAGAAATGCCAGCAGGTGAACAGGATGTTTTGAATACTGGTAAAACTTTTAGTTCAAAACCACCAATATCAGATCCAAATTGGTCAAAATTTAAACCAACAAAGACAACAACCAAAGAAATTGATATCAAATCTAGTGGAAGCATATATAAACTTTCCACAGACACCAAAAACGATTCTGACGATTCCGTTGACGTAATTATGTTCGACAAAGCATTGACAAGAAAATCAACCTCGATATACCAAAAAAATTAGCAGTTGATATACAAAATACATCAAAACCACAAACATGCAAAATCCCGGAAAATTTTATCAGAAATTTAGATTCTGATGAAGAAACGTATTATGATACATCGGAGATAGAAGATTCTTACAATGCTGAAAATGTAGTTTCTGGTAATATTTCTATAAAAATTTCAGTTGATGAGAAATCCAATTTGCCAAGCACTTCGAATGAAAACAATAAGGTAAATAAGGAATCAGTAAATAAGAAAGTGCATGTCATTGGTAAGAAAAAAGCTCCTGAACCACCAAATAAAGAAAAACTTCTGCGAAAGATCAAAAATCTTGATGATGTTAAATCTAGTCAAACCAAAAACCAAGATTTTGGAGAATCTTCTAAAACTTCAACAAGTTCTATAAAAAACACAGAAATTAGGAATAAAAGTCCATCACCTTTTCCAGAAGAAAAACAGAAGAAACAATCTGGATTATCTAAACTCAAAGGCAAATTAACATCATTTTTAGGAACACCCAAGGATAACAAAGACAATGTATCAAACTCTGGATCATCCCAAACGAGTTTAAGGAGCCAAGATGATGATAAAATAGTGAAAATTACAGACTCTGACGCCAAATCCACAACATCCAGTGTATTTGAAACAGATGTCTGAAAAATGATGATTGTGTAATTTAGAAGCAACATTTTAGTAATTTTTCGATGATTTGGAAGATAATTGTTAAAAACCAAAGAGGCTGGTAACCAAAAATTAGATAATATGTCACGCTCTGATACTAAAATTTCGCGAAAAAATATAGAGTTTTATGCATACAATAAGTAGTGTCGATTTCCAAATTGAAATTGTGTTTAAGGCAACACCTGGTGTTAAAAATCCTAATACGTGCTTAAATTTTGGACGCTTTCATAATATCCCAAATGATTTTCGGGAATCTACATCAGACAAAAGAAATTAAGGCATCTATAACACTTTCAGAAGAAATCAACAGCAAACCAAAGACACACCAAAGTTGAAGGATTTTCTCAGAAATCTTCAACGAACCAAAAGTCTTTGGATGTCTAAACACGTGATCCTGAATTCTGGAAGTGAGATCCTAGATGATTCTCTAGGATCTACTCTAAACAAAAAAAACAATTGGGAAAACAAATTTTTCCAATTGGTTGGAATTAAAATGAATGACCAAAATTTTGTCATCCAAAATCATTGGACATCCAAAAGTCATTGGACATCCAAAGAAAGTATGTGAGATTAGCGTTGTGTTGTGGCTTTATCATCACCAGTCATCAAAATCACCTGAAATCATCATGAAATAATCGACAACCTGCCTAAATCGCCTAAAAATTAATCGTTAGCTTTTAGCCATTAACTTGTCACCCAATTTTGAAAACAAGTGAAGATGATGTTGCCTCATGAAGGTTTACTTCAAAGAAAAACAAATATACAGTAGTTTGATAATTGATTTTTTGTTGAAAATATTAAAACTTTGTAGTTTTTTTTTAATTATTGCAACGCGTAATGTTTGATATTTGAAGTAAAACTTCGTAGGGGACATCAAACTTTTTTAGTAGAACCATGCAAAGTTGTGTAGTTTTTGTTTAAAAAAAAAAATTTTGGGTTTTTTTTAAAAAAATAATAGAAGCTATTTTGTTTTAGGGTTTCATACCCAAATGTCCAAATTTCCGACTTTCTTTTTAAAATTTTTTCTACTTTGCAAAGGTTCTCCAAAAACTAACATACACTAAAATGATTTTTTCACTAATTATATTTTTCTAATAATATCCAAATAAATGTAAAATATTTTTTTTATTTTTTTTTCAGGCTCAAATCAAGCCTAGGACCCAGAAAAAAATTGCTGGTTAATTTTTTTTGGAAATAAAGACTCGCCTTAAGAAGACTAAATTATATTGTCAGATGTACTATTGTAAAATTTATTCAGAAAGTGATGATTTTTATAAGCTCTGCAGGACGTACTGATACTAGTAGAATTTTAATAATAAACTCGATTTTCACAAGCTCTTCAGGACGTGCTGCTAGAATATTAATGTATAAACAACATTTTAGTACATCTGATAAAATTTAAATTAATATATAATATATAGTAATTGAACAAATAAAATTTATGTTTTTTTAAAATTTTGTATTGAGGTTTTATATTGTGCTAAATTGTTTTCTTTAAGTAAAATTAGTATACAGTAAAACCCCATTAAGACCATTTCTCAGGGACCATACGAAAAATACGTCTTAAGCGAAAAACGTGTCACGTGGTATAAGAACAATAAGTTTCAAGGTGCAGAGAGCGTATTAAACGTAATCGTCTTAACAGGGTTCTACTGGACATATAATTATACATTTTATATTATACTCAGGGCTGTTTTTTCTCAAGTCAAAAGATACTTTAGTTAAATAATATATTGTATATTATAATCATACATATATACATATATAATTATAATATATTTATTTTACGAATTTAAAAACCTGGTTTGATTTTATTTGTTACTAAAAATTTGAACCAAATAGCATATTTGTTACATGTTACATCTAGTCTACTAGTTTTCTTGTCTTACAGTCTACCTGTCTATATGATTATCTGTCTACCTCTCTACCTATCTAATTTACCTGTCCGATAATTTACCCGTCCGACAATTTTCCTGTACAACCATTGACCTGTCCTACAATTTACCTGTCCAACAATTTACCAGTCCAACAATTTACCAGTCCAACAATTTACCAGTCGAACAATTTACCAGTCCAACAATTTACCAGTCCAACAATTTTCAGTTCTACAATTTAACAGGATAACAATTTACCACACCAACAATTTACCAGTCTAAGAATTTACCTGTTCAACAATTTACCTGTCCAACAATTTACCTGTCCAACAATTTACCTGTCCAACCATTTACCTGTCCTACAATTTACCTGTCCAGCAATTTACCTGACCAACAATTTACCTGACCAAAAATTTACCTCTCCTACAGTTTACCGGCCCAACCATTTACCAGGATAACAATTTACCTGTCTACTAATTTACCTGTCCACTAATTACCTGTCTACTAATTTACCTGTCCAACAATTTACCTGTCCAACAATTTACCTGTCCAACAATTTACCCATCCAACAATTTACCTGCCCGCCAATTTACCTGTCCATCAATTTACATATCTACCAATTTGCCTATCAACCTGTTTATCAATCCACCAATTTACCTATTTACTAATTTAGCTGTTACATATTCGTCTATATTTCAGTTTACCTATCTCCCAATTTACCAGTCTACCTGCTCATTTGTTGTCATATATATCTATCTACCTGTTTAACTATTTATTTATTTCCTATCTACCAATTCACCTGCCCTGTCTACCTGTTCATTTGCCTTCATATATATCCATCTACCTGTTTAACTATTTATCTTTTTACCTGCCTGCCTGTTTACCTGTCTACCAATTATTAAAAATTTAAAAAGTTCAGCTAGTTTTAAATAAAATACAAATATTGTATTCGTATTGCACTTTTTGAACTCTTTTCAACGATATGTCACATGCCAAAAGAACCCTTCAGGCTATTGGCAAGTTGCAACCCTAATTGACGCCAATTAATGAAAACGAGTTGAATAACAATAAATACAAGGTGAAGTATCGACCAAATAATGGAAATAAGATTTTTGGAGATTTCTATATATTTATATATACACATATATAAAGATTTTCTTCCCCAATCCAAGGCATGCGCAGAAATGTACCAGGCACAATTTTGACATTTGTGCCCGCAGCACAAATGTACAAAATCATTTTAAACTAATAAAATAGATAATGAATTTATATAGAAATAAATAATAAATTTATATAGAAATAAATAATAAAATCATTAATAACAATACACTCAATATTGCATAAATAATTATTAAAAAATTAAAAAAGTGCATCAAGTATGCAAAGGACTACAAATAATTTTGTAAACAATAATGTTGAAGTATTAACAAGTGAAAATTTTTATTTATCATAAAATAAATAACGTTTGATTTAATAAAAATAGTTATGTTTATTAATTATAGATTAATTTGTTAGAAAGAAATCATATTTTGAAAGTGTTATTTTATTATTATTATTAAAGTGTTATGTTATTATTTTTAAAATAAATTATTAATAAATGTGGCACAGAATACTGGGTTGGAACCAATAACTAGAAGTAAGTATTTAATTTATTAATATAGTTGAATAAATATTTAATTCATTGAAGATTTCTCTAAGCAAAATGACTAAAAATTTAACAATTTAAAAAATGTTTTAGTAAATAAGTAATTTCATAAAAAAAATATTAGTTTCGAGTCCCAATTTGACTCTTCTTCAGTGAAAAACACACAAATTATTAAATAATTAGTAATAATTATATAATAATTAAGAATAGTAGTAATAATTTGTCTTTTATCTACTGAAGAAGAGACAAACAAAAACTCGAAACGTATGAAAAACTTATTGAAACTTTCCTAAACATTTCCTCTTTAATAACTTGATGGAAGCCAGTATATTTTTTGTTTATAATTATATAAATAATGCATAGAAAGCAATATGTTGTTTTGTAGTTCATTGTACTACAAACTATTTTGCAGAATCAGCAAGTAACTACAAAATAAACATTATATATATATATATATATGTTAAAGAAGTTAGTTTTGATGTTGAGAAATATGAGTAAGTTCTTCAAGGGCATACATCAAATAAAAGGCAAAGATTTAGAAGTTAATCTTTAATTTTTCCAAACGTTTCGACATAGAATTTTATCTCATCATCAGTGGATCTACAGAATGAATATTGAAAAATTAATATAAACTAGGAAAAAATGACAGAAATTGGAAAAAGAACTATAGATATAAGTAATATAATTATAACAATAACAATTATACTTAACAGATAGATAAACAAGAGAAATGAAAAGTAAAAAGAAAAGAAGAAAGTTGTTTATCTATCTGTTAAGTATAATTGTTATTGTTATAATTATATTACTTATATCTATAGTTCTTTTTCCAATTTCTGTCATTTTTTCCTAGTTTATATTAATTTTTCAATATTCTTTCTGTAGATCCACTGATGATGACATAAAATTCTATGTCGAAACGTTTGGAAAAATTAAAGATTAACTTCTAAATCTTTGCCTTTTATTTGATGTATGCCCTTGAAGAACTTACTCATATATATATATATATATATATATATATATATATATATATATATATATATATATATATTAGGGTGGTCCTTAAAATGGTCATTTTCGAATTTCCTTGCTCCCAGGGGCTCAAATGGTTACAAATAGATAAAAAACAATTCTCTGAAAGTTTTAGCTCTTAATATTAACGTTTAGATAGAGCGCAATTCAATCAAAGTTTTGTATGGAAATAACATTGAAAAATTTACAAATTTTTTAAAAATGTTTTTTAGATGTAATTTAGCGAACAAATGAATGAATAAAACTTATTCATTCGTCGCTAAGTTATACCTAACACATTTTTTTTAAATTTCCAAAATTTTTTCCATGCTCTTTCCATACGAAGTTTGATTGAATTGCGCTCTATCTAAACGTTAATATGAAGAGCTAAAACTTTCAGAGAATTGTTTTTTATCTATTTGGAACCATTTGAGCCCCTGGGAGCAAGAAAATTCGAACATGACCATTTTAAGGACCACCCTAATATATATATATATATATATATATATTATTTTTTGGTGTGCCAGTATTTTTCACAAAATTAGCACCAGTATCTATTTTACCAGAAAATGTCTACAAAAGAAGAACTGAATCGCAAAAACGAGCTGAATCGTCGCATTTCCAGTCGTCTGGAGCAACTAGAAGTCGATTCCACGAATTTTGGAACAATTTTGAAAAAAGTTTCAGAATTTTTGGACATTCTGGCCAAAATTCCATTGCCTCCTGCTTCTGTGGAGGGAATTGGAGGTAAATAGAGCCAAAAAAGCTCTTTTTAGATATGTCATATGCAAAATGTTCTAGATCTAAATTACCTATTGGCAAGTTGCTGTTCTTCCACATAATTTGGCAACAAAGTCATTTGGTTGCAGAAAAAAAATCAAAACGGTCAACAGATTTATTTGTAATTTTTTTCGCGTATTAAAATGAAAAAAAACCATTAGCTCTTTTATAACTTATAAAAAAGTCAGAAGAATGGTATTGCTAAATGTTTTTCTTTAATACTGATTCCAGGTGCAACTCTATTCCTAACATTTTTTGGACCAAGAGCAATTGTCCAGACAATCCTCTACCCAATATATAGACATAGCTTGGGTAAGTAAAAATCTATAAATAATTTAAAAAAAAAAATTCAAGGTCTGTACTAAACCTATTGGCAAGTAATTGTAATTTACAGATAGTTAATAAAAATAAAAATAAATAATTTCTTGAAGAGAAATCTCAAATAATGATAAGTGAATTAGATTTAAGAAAATCATTTTTGACGAGCTCGTAAGACCACATTCATGGAATTAGAATGTTGCATTTTGGCCATGTTGTACTTCAACATATCTACTATGATGCCAAAGTCTAAAATCTATCAAAATTTAAAGATTTTGAAACTTAGATTAAAACTAGAACTTCTTAAGTTGGCATGATACTTGTATGAATTCCTAAATGTTATTTTTGATGAGCTCATGAGGTCAAACTAGACATATTTGGGTACGTTATACCCTTATATGCCTGCTTAACAACAAACACTAAAATAGATTGAGAACAACTTTAGTAGAACATCAAGAACTTCCACAATTGTCCACAAAATAACTATTGCATGCCAACAATCTGCAACTCCTTGCTTCGATTTCACAACAACTTCACCCACCCTAATATCTATAATATTTTATTCCCTTCTCAATTTCAATTACTAAAATGGATCTTTTTCCCCCAGGAGGTCTCTACCCTGCCTACGCCTCCTACAAAGCCGTCAGGAGCAAAAACGTTCGAGAATATGTGAAATGGATGATGTACTGGATAGTTTTGGCAGCCTTCAGTGCCATAGAACAGTTGGCAGACCTCTGTCTGACCTGGTTACCATTTTATTACGAGGTCAAGATTTTATTGATTTTATGGCTACTGTCTCCAGCCACCAATGGAAGTACTTTGATTTACAAGAAGATGATACATCCACTACTGTCGAGTAGGGAACAGGTAATTATAAGAAATAGATTTGATATTCTGCATAAAATATCCAGATTGGATCACACAGAAACTGCTCACCAAGAAAACTAACCCAAGTGCATTGATATCTATTACCACCTCCAAATCCTAAGAAATTTAATTAAAAACAATAAACCATAAGACAAACTTGTTCAAAATTAAATAAACTACAAAAGATTCTGCAAGAAACCTACTCTAGAACCACTTGGTTTCTTCTAAAATCGCTCTTCTTTCAGGAAATCGATGAAGCCCTATCAGTAGCTCGCGACAAGGGCTATCGAGCAGTCTTGCAACTTGGCTCAAAGGCCACAAATGCTATTTTAAATACAGCCATCAAGGTAAAAGATAGATTAATCGTTGTAATTCCAAAAAAACTGATTGATTCTATCCATTTTTCCAGAGTGGTAGCGAGTTGGCCCACGAGCTGCGCAAAACCCAATCCTTAGGTGATATCATGAACCAATCCCAAAACCAGAAACAAATAGAAACAGATGATGCCAAAGGTCTGTCAAAAGTCTCAAGACGTACAGGATCTTTGTACCAAAAACCAGAAGGATCCCAGAGGTCTTTAAGACCAAGACCCAAGACCATAAGTGATTGTCCACCAGAGTTTGCAAGAAATTTGGTAAAATCTGGAATGGATGGTGGAGGAGGAATTAATTCTGTAAGGTGAGGACAAAAAATATAGTCAACATGGATAATTAAACCAAAAATTTGATGATTACTTTTGTTGTTGTTTTTTTTCAGATTTATGCGATCATCTGAAGATATTTCAACGAATTTAGATTTTGTAGAGTCTCCAGGACCAAGGATAAAGTCTAGGGCTCCTTTGCATGGTAAAGGGTCTACTACTTCATTAAATGAGGTAAGAATTTAGATATCACTTAATATTTTTAAAAGTTGCTCTTAAAATTACTGGAGACTTTTGACTAACCAAAGAAGAAGTTTATGTCTTGATCAGAAAATCCAATTTGCTAATTTTATGTTTGTTTGACGTTTCAAGTCATTGTGAATCGTTTGATGCCAAAATTGCATAAAGTGCCATATTTGTGTGCCAAATTTTGACTTTCCTGGGCGTTTTTCAGAAACAGCTGCACCGATTTAAAAAATTTAGAAGACATTCGTTGATTCTCGGTAAGAACGGCCAGGCAGTTTTTTTTTAATTAGCCAGACGTAAACCATAAAACTTTCTTATCAATCACAGGAAGTTTTCATATGATATCTAGATAAATAGTTTATATTTCCGATTCGTTTGAACGTATTTTATTATTCTAATCATTATAAATAATTATTAGGTCGTAAACCCGATAAATGTTTATTATTTGTAACAAAATTAAACGACGTCAAGTTGATGTAATGATGCAATTTATTACTAAAGTGCAATAACAAGCGTTATGTGACGTCGTCGGACGGGCCTTCTAGAATTTCCAGTAAGATAATAGATCTATTATATATATATATATAATATATATATATATGACTAATTATAGAAAATCCTCATTAAGTTTTTTTGAATGGTTTCTAAATTTTTGAAATCAGTCAGCCGTTGTCGAGAAAACTTTAACAAAAGATCACATTTTGTCCCATCTATTGATTCAGAATGATTGAAAGGTTAAAAAAATATTAAAATCGTATTTGCTAGCAGAACCAAAACTTCTACCTCAGATGTATTATTATATTTTTAATTTACCAAAATATAATTTTCTATAATTATTTATAATTGGGTTCATAATTTTTTGCAATTAGTGTAGACAAAAAAAGATATATAATTAGATCGTTTTTGCATATTAGAAACGCATTTAATGGACGACCGTATAATTTATATTTAAATCGACAAAACATCGAAAACGTACATCATAGTTTTAAAAATAGATGGTGATTTACTGTTTATGCAAATGTTACATATATACATATGTATAAAGATTCATGCACATAAATGCACATTTATCATATTAATTATGCATTATTTTATGTACATTAATGTGTATTCGAAATATTATACACAAACTAATGCACAAATTTATCTTAATTTTACACATTTATAAACATATACAAACTTTTTCATTTATTCTCTTATACATAATTTCTAC